ACAGAGATGCACTTGCCTTTGCCTCCCAAGTGCTGGTTTTAAAAGTTGTGCTCCACCATGACCTGGTATCTGTGGCTAACTACTGCCTGGCTGCACACTCTGGTCTTCAGTCGAGGTTTTGTTGTTGTTGTTGTTTTATTTTTTGTTTTTTGTTTGTTTGTTTGTTTGATTTAGACAGGGTTTTTCTCTGTGGCTTTGGAGCCTGATCTGGAACTTGCTTAAAGTCACAGAGTTCCACCTGCCTCTGTCTCTCAAGCAATGGGACTAAAGGCATGTGCCATCACCAAATGGCAAGTTTCATTTGTTTATGCATAAACATAATACAACCACAATTGTACAAACCATTTAAAGGCTCCACAAAATTGATGCCACTGATCCTACTGAAGAGGAGCATCCTTCATTAATACATGATCAGAGTGCTTTTAAATTTGTGACACTACTAGATAAAATGACGTGATTCAGGAAAGTTGATTTCCAGGGGAAAAATAAATTTCTGATCTGCGGAATTTTTTCAGGTGTCCGTGGTGTTAGGTGGGTGGATTGGGAAGAATCAACATATTGGGCCTTCATATATGTGGCAGGAAGCAGATGTTCAATTATTCTTCTACATTTTTTTTCTGTGTGGGCATCAGTGTGGCTGGGTTTGCCTCAAATCACAATAGGTCATGAGAATTTGCAGAAACATTGCAAAAAATTACTCCTATTTGTGGAGAGAGCTCTAGACCATGGGGCTTCTCTGTTTGCAAGAAATATCGATAGATAGAGGTTCAGAAGCAGAAAAGTCTAAGGGTCCATTTTACTTATTTTTGGGGGGAGTTGTGAAGTCTCTTTATTTAATTCAAAAAAAAGAAACATAGGTAACTGTGTAACATTGGTCAAAATCTCAGTTTACCTGGCTGAGTTTCCTTTGATGAGAAGTTGATTATATTGTCCTGCTTTTGTTATTGGCTTTTTATCACCATCCCCTTTATTCTTTCCCAAATATTGTACACCTTGTCGATTGCTATAGATTTATGTAAGTATAGAAGTATCATTGTGTCAACGTGTGTACTATATTTTTTGTAATCCTTTTGTGAATTCTCTCTGTTTCCAATATGCACATAGCTTTAGAATTAGATTTCCTGTTATAAGGTGCCAGTGTATTGATTGCTGTGCTGTGAGTGCTGCTGTAGGGGATTATGAGGGGAGTACAGATGTCCACAGATTCCACAGCATGGTGAGCGAAAGGATGCTATCCCCAGATGGGGAGGATGGAATGGGGAGGCAAGGGAAGCCATGAAGCAGACCCTTCTGGAGGCTGCATGGGAACCTGATGCCAAATTCAGTGTTCTATGAGGTCGCATGTGGTCCTGGAAACTTATCAGATTAAGGAGATGGCTGTTGAATTCTCTATGTGGGATATTGGAGGATGGGAAGGACATTGAACTAGCACTGCTATATAAAGTAAGAATGTTTCTAATTCAAGTTTTAAAAATTTGAATACATAAAATGATCATATTCATCAAATTGTAGAACCCTTAAGCTCACCAGAACCAGAAGTCTGAAGGAGTAGTTTACGTTCAGCAATTTTTTCTCGCCTTGCATGGTCACCTTATCCACATTTAGGTTCTATCCCAAACCTTCCACATTGCATCAGCTGTGCTCATATCTAGATCTTAAATGTTAAAAAACAAAGAAGATAATGACTAAATATCATATACTGAAATTAAAAACACATATAAATAATACATTTTATATTAAATTATTAAAAGTACATTGCAATGAAATATAAGCTGTGTACTGGAGATTAACATCAGAAGTGTTAAATGTGTGGACAGATATGGGTAAGGCTCAATCTCACATGTCTATAACTTAGATATTGTACATAGGGCATAACAACAAATAAATTTTTAAAAAACTACGTGGAATAAACTGTAAAACTTATAACTATACATAACTAAAAGTGGGCTCAAACTGAAAGTATTTTTCTTGAACAATAAAATGATGGGCAACCTTCTTAGAGCAATGGTTATAAAACTTCATGCTGTGGTCATGCTTAACCATAAAATTATTTTTATCGCTACTTAATTACTGTAATTTTGGCAGTGGTATGAATTGTAATGCAAAAGTTTTTGGAGATAGAGGTTTGCCAAAGGGGTTAAAACCCACAGATTGCAAAACACTCATCGGATCTGTTACTTTTAATCTGTCAAATTTAACACTTTTAGCTAGCTAATATTAAAAAGTATGTCAGAATGGTTGAATGGATGAATGTAGTTGCTCCCAAGCCTTCCTGAGTTTGAACGTGTAGGACCTATGCTGTTGGAAAGATCAAATTGACTCCTGTTTGCTGTATTCTGATCTACACACACACTCACATGCACGTGTGTGCGCACACACACATGCACACATGTGCATGCACACAAAAAATGAATAGATAAATGATTACCAATTAAAATTAAATATTTGGAGTTACTTTTTATGTACAGCAGCTAGGTAGGTATTTTTTAATGTGGTGTCTAACTTCAAGAAAATCACATAATCGTGCAACTTTATTTAAAATTATCCTTTAGCTTTGTGAATATTTTTATATACCCTCTATAAACAATGTTATCAATAATAATAAAAATGAGCAGACACATAATATTCAAAGTAGAGGGTTCACTTGCAAAATATGATGTCTTTGAAGAGGGTAATGGAACTGTATTTAACATGCAAATATGTTAACAGAAGCGAGGAGAAATCTTCAAGACGATTTCATTGTATGATTTCAGGTCATATACAAGAAATCTGAGAGAGCCTGTGAAGTTCATTTTCACTGAGTGATGGAGATAAACAGATTACAATGTATTTTCTTTGAAAAGCATAGAAGCATCCAATGAGTAGCATAGGATGGGCTCCTCCGTTAATATTTTCCTGCAGTAGGAGCACAACATCATGTCTCCAAAGTTCACCAATTTAGAGTCACAGGTATTACTATAGCCATTATTGTTAACATCATTATTCTTTGAAAAACATGAATCTTAGAGATGAATATTGGTTGCAATTCAAACTGGAATAGAAATTTTCTTCAGAGATATCAATTATCTTTATGGATGAAATAGCTAAAATAAAATTAGAAATTCATCTTGACACTCCAAAACAACATAAGTGAAAACATGAATACAATGTTTTAACAGAAAAATTTGATTTTTTATCAATATACAAATTTCTTTAAGCAAGAGTAGTAATATATAGTATGTTGTAACAAAACTTTGCTCTGGGGAACAGGTCAGCAATGGGGGCCTGATCCTCAATGGACCTGGAATGAAGGGACAAGAGACACAAAAAATGGACAGCAAGACAGGATTTCTGATCAAACTGCAAAATTTTATTTTCTCAGAGACTCTATTTGGTGGTTGAGGCAGGGAGCTTGGCAGGGCTGGGATTCATCAGAGAGAGGTCATTGCATGGAAACCAAATCAGAGAATGTTCTTGTCAGTGAGTCCTTGAAGGTAGGCAGGTTATAATAGATTCAATAACCTACCATTTTATCTAATGTTTCTTATATTTGCATATAACAGTTATCTGTGACCGACCAAACAATCAAAAGTCCTACCCCCCAACATTTGGGAATGTGGGAGTCATGTTCTCCAGATGCCTCCTGCTGTTCTGCAGATGAAGGCAACTTTAAGAGTTCCCAGGGAAAATTTGAGACTATTTTCAAGTTGTGTGAAGACCACAAGTAAATTTAATTGATATGTATGGCCTGTCAAGTTTAAGAGGTCTCAGTTGCTCTACCCATGTCTATGTAAATGTAAAGCAAATCCAGAGCCTCTTGTTTCCTGTAGAAACAATAACAAAATTGCTTCCCCAAAGCATTTTTAATTTTCATTTGACAAATATTTTTGACTTTTTAAAAGTTAAGGTATTCATAAAGTATACAGACTACTTCAACATTCCCTCTTTCAATTCCATTTATATCTGGACTTATTTAACAGTATGCATTTTAGCCCTTATGCTGCCAATTAAAGCATTCGATGGCTAAGCTACAACTGTATCTTCTGCCTGGTCTCCCAGCTGGCCATGCCCACTTCTGGGTTCATGAGAACAAAGTCTAAAACTCACAGCCCACTCGGTGTTCAGTCCCCAATTACTACTTAAAGCCTCCCCAGAGCTCTACCATTTCCGTGATTGTGCTGTGGCAGTCATTTTAACTGAGGTTATCTTTTTTGCTTAGTGTGCTGGCTTTTCAAAGGCTCACCAGCAGACAGAATCACGTTAAGGCTGTGTTTTTATTTTTAGCTTTCTCTGGTGTTACATGGAAACATGGCCCCATTTGGGTGCCATGAATTTGCTTAATGTTTTACTCCTATATCTCTTTAGATTTTTACCTTCTGGGAAGGGCAACCCCCAGTCCCAAATTGATACACAGATGCATGTTATTACTTATAAATGCCTGGCTTTTACTTGGCTTATTTCTATCCAATTTTTCTAAACTTAAATATCACCATTTACCTTTTTTCCTCTAGACTTTTACCTTTCTCCATTTATGTATATCTTACTTTCTGTCTCAATCCACTACTTGCTGTGTGACTTGATATTTGGCCCTTACCATCATCCACTTATTGTATCTTGCTCCTTTATCCTTGCTTCCAGATTTATCCTTCTATGTATGCTTTGTCCTGCTACCACAGCCTATTCTTTCTCCTGCCTCACTATTGGATAATCTCCTCTTTGTCAGATCATCAGGAGATGTAGACAGGCTAAGAACCACAGCTTTACAAACCTACAGCATAAACAAAAGCAGCACATATTTACTTTACTAACCAAATGTTCCATAGAATAAAACTAACACATCTTAATATAATTTTCTACAGAAACATACATTTATAATATGGTCAATATCATGATTTAAGTTGCACATATTTATGTGATATTAGAATGCCATGACCTATAATGATGTGCATATCGACTTCACTTGGGAAGAGTGGAGTTTGCTGGATACTTCTCAGAAGAATCTCTACAAAGA